GTGGCCACTGCACTACAGTCTGGGCGACAGAGTGAGACTACAACTCAAAAAAAAAAAACAAAAACAACTTAGGCATCTGAGAGTCTTTTTCCTAAATTATCGCTGGGTGCTGGGCAGCAGTCGTCTCCAGTTCAGTGAGGAAGGCTCCAGGTGTCAGCTTGCTGGTGGCCTGAGTGTTCCTGCTGTCTTCCCAGGACGTCTCTTTGGGTCTCTGCACCCTAACAGGCAGAGAAAACATTTCTTGAGTAGACCGCAGGCATTTTACATCATTATCTCACCAGAAACTCCTATGAGATGGGCTTTATGATTCCCATTGGTGGATGGGGAAATTGAGGCTAGGTAACTTGCCTGTGCCTGCCTTGCTAGGCCAGAATCTGGGCTGTCTGACTCTCATGGTCTAGGCTCCCAGCTAGGCCTAGAAAACCATGGAAGCTCTCCAACTCCCATTAACAACCAGACAGGGCACGCCAGTACCTTCTTCATGCTGGAGAGCTCTCCATGAGCCTCAGGGCACAGCCATCTGCCCCCCAGGCCTGCCCTGCTCCCAGGGCACATGCCTGCCCTTCCCCATCCAGCCCACCCTCTGGGCCTAGGTCTCCCCCAGGCATGGACTTTCCAGCTAAGAGACCTCTCCTTCCCCCACCCCCATCCTGCAGCCTCACCTGGGTGCTGGATACCCTCGCTGTGCCCTCCAGCTTCTCTTACCCATTCCCCATGTCCCCAAGGCAGGACACTATGACCTGCAGTAACTGAATTCTTGGGGCCTCTGTCTGTTGTCGGGTTTGTTTTTCATTTTGTTTTGTTTTGGAGTTAGGGTCTCTTGTCCAGGCTAGAGCACAGTGGCATAATCACGGTTCATCGTAGCCTTGGTTTCCTGAACGCAGCTGGGACTACAGGCATGTACCACCATGCCCGGATAATTTTTTGATTTTTTTGTAGAGATGAGGTCTGTCTATGTCGCCCAGGCTGGTCTCAAACTCCTGGCCTCAAGCAGTCCTCCTGCTTCAGCCTCCCAAAGTGTTGGGATCACCAGTCTTGCTGTTGGGTTTTGGACCAAGGGAAGTAGGACATGGGAGTTGAAGGAATTGATTTCCTGAGCTGCTTTCCTGCCCAGCCATGGCCAAAGCTAATTTTTAAAAATATTGTAGAGACGAGGTCTCACCAAATTGCCCAGGCTGGTCTTAACTCCTGGGCTCAGGCAATCCTCTCACCTCAGCCTCCCAAAGTGCTGGGATTATAGGCATGAGCCACTGCACACGGCCTATTGTTATTATTATTATTATTATTATTATT